ACAAAGGGATTGTCTCGGGGCAGAGTAGATTATATTTGTGACAAGCTGGGACTATATGACATATACTCTCCAGCTTGAGGGGGAGTGTTAGAGTACACAAATCAGGGGTATTTTGGTCATTTGGGTTTATCTATTTGAAAGTGAAAGGCCTGTTTTATTTAAGTTATGTGTCCCATCACTTATGAGGGACAATATGATCTTTCTTGTAACTATGTTATTGGAGATAAATACAAGTGGGTCGACTAGAGAGAGGACTGATTTTTCTCTACTGGCCGAACCCTTCTTCTTCTCCTCTTCTTCCTCATCTTCTTCTCCTTCTTCTCTACTGTAACCTAGGACTAAATAAGGTTTTCACAAAGTACAAGGTGGTGGTCTAGTTCTTCCCATAGTCCTTCTAAAGTTGCAAAGTAAGTTGCAACAGACATATCCCCTTGTCTCAATACAACAATATCTTGAGTTAGCCTATAAATTCTTGCATTGTTTTTCCGCTATCTATAGGTTTTAGACACCTCCCAAATCATAGAGTCTGTAGGGAAGTGTTGAACAGTCCTTGCTACTCTTGGAGTCATTGAGGCAAGCAGCTAGGACATAACAATAGCATTCTCCTTACACCAAGTTGAGTAATCAGCATCATCCTCTTTAGGTTCGTTCTTCTGTTCATCTACATAGCCCATAAATTCCCGGGAAGTAATGAAAATCTTGGTTGAAAAAGACCATTCTCTAGAGTTGTATTCATCTAACAACAAACTAGTGATCTACAAGCTATGCAGATTTGGGTTTTCCAGGTTTGAAGACCTCCCACCAGTCCTATTGTCCTTAGAGGACACTTCTCCTGATATTGAAGACATGTCCTTCCTCTTACAATAACCACAGCTGTAATCTCAACGAGAGGGACAAGATTTCAGACTTACCGGAAATGTTACTAGACTTACCGGAGATGTAATCTCAATGGACTGAAGCACTCACTGTAACAGTTTTGGGCTGAGAGCAGCTTTTATGGTCAAAAACACCACTTCTGGAAGTCAAACCTGGGCTGTGACCACCCCCTGCAATCTGCTCTAAGTTCTAACTCCCAGACAACAACTAGGACTGTCCACTCAGTCCTTCCTAGATCTGTTCTACACAGATCTCTCTAGTAGCCGACATAAACTGTTGGGAAAACCTCTCCTCGGGCCCTACATCCAAAAGAACCCTAGACACAGACCTTTCTGTAGTCTACGACCAATCCTAGGGCTTCTTCACAGTAGCAGAGATAAGAGAAAAGGAAAAAATAGAAGAGAGAAAAGGGAAAGAGGAAAGAAACTAGCTGTAATCAGTCAGGCCGAATGGAGCTCTGATACCATGTTTGCTGAAATACAGCAGTAGAAGAAGAAGAGAAGAAGTTTGTGAATGGGTGGCAATATGTTCTCAGCCAGACCTAGAAGCTATTATATATATTCACAATAAGATGTTATAGGAATAGACTAGAATACCCTTGATTAGTGATGACACACCTAGGCATAATAAAATTAAAGAGGTTTAGGCCCAATAACTAAAGGCCCATAACAGACTAAAGAACTTAAACATAAAAAGATAAATAAGCCCACCAACACTTAACCACTTGAACCAACAGTTTTCATCACCTTCTTCCAATTTCTGACACCATCATCTATTAAATAATTGTCTCTTTGTTCCTAGGTTTCTCCTCTCCCCTCTTATAAAACAAAATTATTTTCTACAAACTATAAATGAGTAATCACCACCTATTCTCCCCTTATTCATCCTCTAAGCAACCCATCTCCATCTGCTCCTGAAGACATCTACAATTACTATAAACAGAGAAGATAAAGGATCACTTTGCTTAATCCCCTCTTGCAAGGAAGAAGCCCACCATCTCATTAATTAGGATTGAAAAATAAAAAAAAAAATCTCAAGCATGCTTTTATCCAGGCCCTCCACTTTGTCCTAAACAGACATCTTTCCAATTACAAAGCCCAGAAAAGACCGATTTATACGATTTCTCCAAGTCTATTTATAGATCCATCCCCTTCCCCTTGATCTTTCTCTAATAGATACACAAAGAGAGAAAGAGAGTTTTTCATTAATATGATTGTTCTGGCTTTCCAAATGATGCATGACCTAAGATGTTAACATGAACATATGGAAACTTAATTAACATACAACCTTTTTAGGACTCCCACACAGTATGTGCAATCTGGTGCTGAATACTAGATATAGAACAAACCCTCAATTTGAAAATAAATAGACTCTCAACAATATCAATAGATGTACTAAGAAACAAAAGTTTGAATTTCTAGAAGATAGAGAAAGCTTTACATATGCTTCATAAATACCTGAAAACCATTGGGCAATAATCTTTCCAATAGAAACCAATAGAATAGTGTGGAGGTGTAAGTTGGGAACCCTTTCTTGGGAAATACATTCTTATTCTAGCCCGAGGCCCAAAGTCAGAGGAGCGAACTTCGCGCCTAGGGACTGGTGTGATCTTCCCAACAGTATACCTGTATATATTAAAACAAGAAACTCAATATTCATCAAGAAACAATACTTAAGTTAAAACAGGTACCCTAATATTAACAAAACTTACAAAGTATAACAAAGACTAGATGATTTCACAAACTACAAATAACAAATCAATATTATAATAAGAAAACTTTGTAAACCTAATTAGACTCGAGATAATCATATATGGTAGTGGATACAAAACAAGCTCATACATTTAAATATGAAATACATCATCATCATTCAAGCTTTATCACAACTATATGGGGTTGGCTACATGAATCCATTGTTAAATTATTGGCACTTAAATCATTTCTTACTATTTCTACCCATGTCTGTTTTGGTCTACTCCTTGCCATTCTAGCTCCTTCAACCTGTAACAAATCACTTAATCTTACAGCTGTTGTTGATGGTCTTCTATGCACATCTTAGTCTACTTTATCTCTAATTATGAAATACATATCATGAAAAAAATGTTTCTTGTAAAGGTGATACGTCCTTGTTACATATCTACAGAACATAACATGAAATAAAAAAAAAAAAAAAAAAAAAAAAATAAATGAAACCATCATCATAATTGCCATAAATGAAAGCCAACGACTTTAAGTTGAATCCCTAGACTGT